TAGCAACATTTACCAGCCATTTGTAAAGTGTCTAGTAGATTTTCATCACTTACCAGCCACAAATCAATTGTAACCTATGAGTGGCTGGTAAAATATGAACATTCACTAGCCATAACTGCCATTTTTACCCTGTTTGAGTGACTAGGCTAATGGTAATCATAAATACAAAAATCATAACTCATCAATATAAGTTTAGGGCGCTTTGGTTCAAATTTGCTTGCTCTGTCGTGCCTCACTTTTTAAGAATCAAAGACCGAAATATATAATGAATGTTAATCATGTTTCCTTTTGATTTCACGTCCTTTTCAGAGCTGGCTAATGCTGGAAGGCCATTATTCCCCGGAAACGATGTGGACGACCAGTTGAAAAGAATCTTCAGATATCCTTTTCTTCTGCTTTTGCAGTTTGCTATATTTAACCTACTATATGATGAATGATTTACCAACAGTAAGTCTTTACAGGCTGGGCACACAACAACGTTTTTCTTTAACCACTCAGTACGTTGTTGGGTACACCAACTGAAGAACAGTGGCAGACAATGACGAAACTCCCCGATTACAAGGTAACTTATTAATACCTTTATTTTGTCTGACCCACAGTGGAGGCAGTGTACGATATGAGTTACTGAAATTGTGTTTCTACCTGCAGCCATATCCCATGTATCCGGCTACCACCTCGCTGGTGAATGTGGTGCCCAAACTCAGTAGCACAGGACGGGATCTACTCCAGGTACTTTCATATTCAACTTGCCTGCTTCTATTTAAATATCATAAGACATTATCACAACTGTCAATAGCTGAAGTTATGACTTTTATGCACAGTTATAACAACAACAAAAAACCTGTATTGTTTATAACCATGCCTGTAAGTCATAACTTCAGCTAACCAATCCACCAATTGTTGCTAATATAGAGTTGTGCTTGCCATAAATTCTACATTTCTGTCCACTTATTAATGTTTCCTTTTATCTCCATCCAGAACCTGCTAAAATGTAACCCTGTCCAGAGGATCTCTGCAGAGGAGGCCTTGCAGCACCCGTACTTTGCTGATTTCTGCCCACCCTAAAAGCTAAACGGCCACTCGCTGAACCTCAGCCGCCAGAATCAATCATCCTTCACCCTGCTCGGTCATTAGGACCAACACGGCAAATCCCTCTCCGGTCTCTAACACTCCCCTGCATTTCATTCTGTTGTGCCTCTGGAACGATGGCCTGGTGGCTCTGCAAGGATTAAGGTTGTTTTAAATTTCAAGCCTGTTTAATTTGTTACATAAATGCCTCCCAGTAAATTAGCGCTAATGTGAGAGGATGCACTATGTTGCATTAAATACTTTTTATAACTGTGGAAATGCTTTAGAACAAAACGCCCCTCCGCTCCAAAAGACCGATACAATTGACATGCTGTTTATTTCTGACTTTTAACAAGTTGTTTATGGATGGAATAAGGCCCTTTGACTCTGTGGTCACATTTGGTAAATTCATTCAGATTTTAATTTAAAAGTGCCGACGCATTAGTTGAACAAACTGAGATATGCCATTGCAAACTAAACTTTTTCTCAATGATCTAAAATATTTCTCTGGCATTTCTATCCTGCAGTGACTTTTTGCATTAGCCGCAATAGAAAGGCTGGTGCTGGCATATCGGTAAAAGTTGAAATCTGCTGATGTATTGGCTCTAGTCGAGACCACAGATCCTGGGGCTGCTAAATGCTACTTTTTCCAATTCATTCGTATTTTTTTAGAATAACAAAGGAGAGATTCATTTGAAAATCATGAACGCTTAAGTCAATGTTTTTAAGGATTGTATGTTACTTTTGTTTCACTTTAATTTACACGTCTGTAATTCCAAAATGATTTCCAAGAAATGTTTCTTGTTTGAAATACTGTATGTGATTTGGTACTAATTTAATGCTATGAAAGAAATACTTTAATTAAACCTGAGAATTATTTTATATAATTATTCACTTATGGTATACACTCATTCGACCACATGGACTAAATTGTATATTTTTCTGTACAGACATTTCAAAATGTTGCATGTTTGCTTCGTAGGTAACATAAGCTATTAATTAGAAATGATTATTCAGGGCTGTGCCATTAAACACATCTCTATTTTATTTGTAGTTAGTACCAAAAACATACTTATTTCCTGGAAACTTCCTATGAAATGATTAGGAAATAACAAACCTGTATGATACAGTGTTATATATATTTTTACTTTTCAGACCGCAACAGACAGTAATTCGGAGGTTTCACATACCAACAGTACATTTCGTCGTCCCACTACCTAGTTACAAGATTGTATAATAGCATGGAAAGCTAATTTATTATTTTATCTTTCTCAGGCTTTTTATTTCCCCTTTTGTATTTCTTTTCTGTGCACTTTGTAAGTTTCATTTGAAATCGTTTAGTATATATAAATATTAAATATGTTGAACACTGACAGCCAGGATTATAGCCGGTTATCAATAAAAGGGCCAATATACATCATTTCATGATAATGACTAGTGGACCATTAGTGACACGTTACTTTTTTACATCATAATTATACTAACATCTTTTAGCTCTTCTGAAATGCTTCTGTAGTTAAATGAGAGAATCCAGGTAATCCATTGATAATCTGTGTTTTCATATAATGATTGTTTTGCACCATTAGCTGTTTCTGGTTATTCATTGTATCAACATGGTTTAACAGCTTGCAGTGTTATTTTACTCCAGATCGTTACAGCGCTACTTATCCCATAAATACGCCTACATAATGATTTTGTTTGAAGTAGCTGTTCTAATAGGGAAATGACTTATTTCCATTTTGCTGATGTAAGAAGATAATGGATGCATGTATTTATTAATGATGGAATGTCTGCTCATTTGTTTTGCATTCGTTAAAAGAGGTAGCACAAGTTCATTTGGTACAGAAACTCCTTCATATTGACTCAATGTAAATCAGATCTTTAGTCAGCTCTTGTAGGATTTCAAGGTTGTGTGTGTGTGCATTAAGTTATAATGAAAGAAAACAAGCATTTCCTCTCAGTATTTCATTCTCTAGTGATAACAAACTGCTTCAGAGTTACTTTGTACAGCTTCTATTTAAGATTTGAATGAAGAGGTGGTTTTGCACTTTGCTAGTATCTTTCATTGTGTTGGTCGAAACCCATGAGACTAATGTCATTGATTATTTGATGTATATGTCAGACAATAAGACGCAGTATTCAGTAAACTGGATATAAATACATGTTTGCTTTTAAAGGTACCCTATTATACTCTTTTAAAACAATATATTATAAGTCTCAGATATATACAAAACATGTCTCGGAAGTGTTTGGCTTGAAATACCAAACAGATCATTCATTGTCGCATCCCATAAACCCCTCGTTTCAGCCCTGTTAAAAGTGCTGATTCTGTGTCTGTAGCTTTGAATGCTAATGAGCTGCTGCTAGCCACGCCCCTCTGCAAAGTGATTGGTTTAAAAAAACATCATGGTGCTCTCGGAGGAGATTCAGGTGATAAGGTGGGCGGGTGTTGGTTATTGGCTAATGGTTACACAACCCAAAATATCACGACATCATAAAGTAGCCAAAATCTGATCGGCTCATTTTCAGACAGGTTTTATAAATGAATCGGGACAAAAAGAGAGGGGGTCTTTTTCCTGAAATGTTCTGAATCTCTTTACACACAGGGGGGAAATATGTATGTATACAATGCATGAACAAGTGGATTTAGCTAAATAGGTAACCTTTAAGAACAAAAGTTCATTCCTGACTTTGGAAACGGTAGCTGCCAAAATAATATCGCCCCAAGGTCCATCTGTACAACAGCTGTTATTGAGTGTTGGATTGCATGACAACTGAGAAAAATCAGTCTGCCGGGAAACAGCCGCTAAACAGACCTTGTATTGAGATCTATTTTGGAAAAGTTTGCTTGTTATTTCAAAATGATTTACACAGTTTGCTTTTTATATGGTCACATTGACTACTTCTGAATTTTGGAAACATCTTGATAATATGTGATAAAAAATAATCCAGTAGACGGCATCTAAAGTGCTTTTTGTCATAATTGTGTAGCTACAGTGTACACCAGGCTAGGCTACAACAAGGTTTGATAAAACTATATATCAACTTTGAAGCTCTTGAAATCGTTTAATTCAAAACATTTTTCTCAATATCATGAAATTAACGTGTTATAAATGCAACAAACAAAAGGTGGAAGTACTCCGATATTTTACTTTTGTGTCCACTAAAACCAGAAATACTAGAGTATACAAATACTGTGATACAAGTGAAAGTCCTGCGTGCAAAATCTTACTTAAGTAAAAGTACAAAAGTATTGGCATCAAAAGCCAGTACTTACCAAAGTAAAGTACTTATTGTGCGTAATGTCCCATTTCAGAATCATATAGCCTACTAAAGGCTGGAATATTATTAATTCTGCATTAATGTGTTCATCACATCTGATAAATGTGGAGCTAATTGTATTACTTGATATAGTACTGCTGGATATCTGAACCTATTATATATCCTAACTATAAGTAGGAGTTTTAGTAATAGTGAAACACCAGCTTATATGCACCATCAGGACTTTTTACCTGGCAACAAGTCAAAAACTCACCAACTGTCTTTAGATACTTTTTTAAATGTTGCACAATTCTGATCGGTGCATAGATGTCTATTAGCCAGCATCCAACTACAGCTCAGGAAAAGGAAAACAAATCTCATCAAGCTGTTCTTATACTGCATACATAAACCTAAAAATTAGCTGGCCGCATCGCATCAAGAGAGCTTTCTTCAATTGTTCCGATGCAATGTTTCGACTATCAATGCACAGAAGTCAAATAAACAACTTCCAAACTCGGGATATGGTACTATCAGAGGAGCCCCTGAAAGCACCATGACTAGATCATTTTGTGTCCACTTTTTGAGAGCTTTTTCGAGTTTTAAGGGCCTTTAAAATGGGCATGCAGGTACAGTACATGTGCTGTCAGTAAAACGAGTTAAGTTACACATAGTTAAGTGTGTATTAACTATTTAATGTACAATTCAGAGTTAAAATCACATATCTACAATAAAATGCACATAAAGCACGTAGAGCCAGATGAAGCAAGTTCAGTTCCCCAGATCTTTGTACGCATGGAAATCTTGATGTTACCTGTTACAACCAGTCTTGAAGGCACATTTATTTCTACTTTAAGCCACATTATGTTTATTATATCCATAAAAATTGATGGAAAGATTTATCAGTTTTCCCACATCTTCCCTTTTTGGGTATTGCACGATCCCAAGCCTGGTTTGAGGAGGACCTGCAGAACATCCTTTTGATTCATCTGGCTCCAGAATATACATTTTGGACCATACAAAGTGAATAGCATGACTAAGATTACATTAAGAGAACAGAGAAAATAGGTCATGCAAGGGAGAATAATGGATGATATGACATAATTAGTTGGAAATATAATTATTCAAATGTCAGTGTTAGGCGACAGAAATATATAGAGTACGGTTTTCTACTTGGCCATAACTATGCGGCAAATACCAGGAGGACTAACAGTTATAGTTTCTGCTGTTCTGTGAAAGGTAGCCAGGGGGTGAGGGGAGAGAGAGGTAAAGACCCGGGACATTTTCACACATCCTTCAGCCAGTTTGTGGTAAATGGTGGGTCATTTGTATGCTTCTTAACCCGAACAACATGACACACACACACACACACACTCAGAATCATCATGACAATGCAGCAACATCAGAATAGCATCATTGTGTAACATGAATTGGCATTTGTCTCTTTAATTAGCTAATGATGGCTAATATACAATTTTCATATCATACATCTGTGTTGCAGCTGTTCAGTCTATCAGTCCAGCCGGTGAAAACATCATTTATTAAAAATGGGAATCCCAAATCTTTTTTTTAATGTATCAACTATTTTAGTTTCAGTGCATTTATTGCTCATGACACAATGCCGCTGATTCACCTTTTTTCCTGAAAAGTACGTTTTCCATTTGGATAAAGTCTCTTCACAACGAGGTCTCTGGCTGCTCTTGGCAAGCGCCCTTTTTCCTATTAATGATCGAGAAGTGAACACACCAAGTAACAGGGTGTGTATTTAAAACTAGAGCCACAAAAGGTAGTCACAACCATAGACGTCCAGTCATTGGCTTTCAAGTGATGGCTGATCTCCAAAGGTTTGTGCTTCACATCAACATCTAATACACAGAGTATAAAGCTACAGTGTTATGAACACCACTTAACTTGATTAGCATTATACTTTCACATTAAAAAAAACGACTCTGAATTTCCAGTAAAGTATTTATAGTGAGGATATGTGAGTGTAACAAGTCCAAAACTGTAGTGTCAAGGATTTAAATAACAGTGAATATTAACAACGAGAGACTCACACGAAGATCAGAAGAAAAGTTGTGTACGTGAGTAAGATGGGTAAATATTGAGTTTATTATACTTGTTCATTTATACATCACAAACTGTTATTTGTGACTTATTACATGTTCTGTAATAATAATAAAATGATACAATGGTCAAATTTTACAATGCATTTCCGTTATAAATCAATTGTTTTAAATGGGGCTTTAATGTTTTGACGCTATAATCACCAGAAACTCAAAGACACTTACGGTCCACCCAGATAGAAAGTCCAAATTCCTTCTCTGGAGTAAGAACAGAAAGGAGATCACTTTATCTTCCTCTATATATATCTATATTCAGATATATTGATATATATACAGTATATATTTGACAAATGTCTCACATAAGCAGTACAGAATTTCTTCATGGCATTTGATTGCGGGTATTTACAAGTTTCTGTCAAGTTCAGGAATGTCACCAACACACCTCTTTAGGTCTTCTTATGTTCAATAGAGAATAGGTTACTACCACAGGGGGTTGTGCTGATGGACACCTTTAAGACACAGCAATGGAAAAACTGTTTCTGAGAATGATTAAAAAGGCAAAAGGGAAATTGTTTCTCTTCTAATGAATTCACTGTAAATAAGGGCTAACTTCTGCAGCAAGCTGCATGCTAGCATATATGTTCACTGCACAGCAAGGTAATCCCAAAATATGTAAAAACAATGGAAATAGAAATGTCAGGATATAAAGATACAATCAATAGCCTTGTTCGGGCCTCCTGACTCTTTAATTAACCCTTACTACATGTAGAAAGCGACTTAAGTTAACTAACACATCCAGTTCAGTAGTTTCTGCCATCCCTGTGGAACAAAACCAGATACTTGCATATATACAAATAATCAAGTTCCCTTTCTGTTTTTAAATTGATTAAGCACAGCCATTTAAATTCATAAGAGCCTCACAGTAGCAAAAGGCAACATTAAACACCAGTCTAGTGAGGGGATTCAGGATTGAGCGGCTCTTTTATCCAACAATCAGCTCACTGAGATGTAAAAGGGCTCTCCTGTTCCAGCTGGTGACAGTATAAGGTCACTCACTACAGCATGTGTTAGATGCTGGAGACGTAACCCTGCTGAGAATCTGCTCTGCTGCAGATACCAATCCACAATTATCATTTGTTGAGGTACGTATACAGCAAAGCAGGCACAGCAGTGCTACACCTCATCACAGCTCAGAAAGCATTTTATAAACATATTTCTATATTCTGCTTGTATAACTCAAAAGTGAGAGCATAAGAAAAACAAATCCACTAAATGAAACATGAATAAATTAACACAGATGCCTTGACATGGCAGTTAAACCTGAGTTCTGTTTTGGAAGTGGTCTCCCTCTTTTTTTTTTTCTTCTGATGATAGTACTCTATTTCTATTCAGGCATTGATAAACTCTACTATAGTATACTCAAACGGTTTCTGTTAAATACATAAATTAAGTCACAGTTTGCTGTCGAGTCCCCGGATGTGCCCCCCTGCCTCCCCCCACCCCCTTCTTTATGTTGTCAACAAGCAAACTCCTCGAAGTTGCCTAGAGTCGGGTGACGAGGTAACATGTTCGGCGTGAATCCGAGACTCTCCGAGTGACTCCGGAGGGTGTCACAGGTGCTCTGCAACACAGAGGAGGGGGGAGGGGGAGGGAAGACGAGTTCAACCGGGTTAAGGGAGGGGCGATGAAGGGAGCCATGATGATGATGATGTAGGTAAGTAAATGAGCCACAGGTAAAATGAGAGCGACCGGGACGATGGATGAACGCGGATGAAATGGAAAAAAAGGATATGATTCGAGGAGAAATTGTGCAAAACCAAAATTATTAATGCAACAGAAATAAGGAAATGATATATGGAGGAGGGCCGTAAATGACAGAAACATACGGAGACAATGATGAGGTAATGAATACAACAGATTTGGAGGTTCCAAGACCAGCCACATTGCATATGTTTCACAGGCAGTGAGTTCAAAGGAAAACCAGAAGGAAGGTGGGGAAATATGAATGAAAGGAGGGAGAAGAGAGAGACAACAGCATTTATTTAGTCCTGTTTTTACACTAGTATAGTCAATTCCTATAGTTACAGTTAAGCTGGGACATCCAAATGTCTGTATTTCCCTGTGTGTGCATAGCTGAGTGACTCCTGACGCTGTGTGTGGAACAACCATTGGTCGTCCCATCGGTAAAACTGGCTATTCCAACAGACAGAGAACCATTTATGTGTTGTGCAAACTCACGGCATGCAGACCTGAGATAACATCACAAAGTAATGCATCTAGTGATGTTATCTGGCATGAGCCTCAATGCATGGCCTCTATGGACCTCTGCGCTGGAGGGGAAACAAATGGATCTCGTATGGTTCAGCTTTTTTGTACGATAAATCAATAAATACGTTATTTTTTTTCACAGGAGGACTGCGCTTTGTCCTATTGGGAGAGAAAGCATCATTATTCAGTGGAAGGAGTGAGTTTGCATAGAGTCCAATCATTATGCACTTGGAGAAGCCAACCAAAAACACACAGAACTAACCTGCCCTCACATTGGGTTGGATATTAAAATGCTTGCTGCAGTTGGCTAATCACCCCCTTGTTGTTTTTGTTTCACTATTCACCACAGCATTTGTAGCCACTGAGGAAATCATGTATGAGATGGTTTTCAGGTATGAATGAAAGAGAGGGACAGCATGGGAGGGAGGATCTATAATCAATGGGGTGTGCTACCTGGGGGCATGATTAGGCGTGACACCAGGGCTGGTTGGGTTCTCTGGAAACTCCTGGAATAGACATGATGAAAAGAAAGATGGGTGAGGGTGACTGAAATGAAAATAAAACACAATGCAAATGCTAAAAGTGTTTTTTCCCCCTCAGTGGAAGGTTTAGAACTGAAGGAAGATGGCTGTTTGATAATATTTGGATCTTTTAATAAGCAGGGGAAATAAAAGATGATTACTGTCATCCAGAAGAGTTGGCGATCAATAAAGAGAAAAGAAAGTTACAAAAAATGACAAAATGCTATACTTTACTGTCGGGTTGTTTGAGTGGAGATGTGACAATGGACTAGTTGGAAAAACGATTAGTGATCGTGAGAGAAAGAAAAGGATGATTTATTGTAAGCAGATGAACATATGACATGAATGGGGAAGAAAACAGGAAATATCACACTATGTAAACTCCAGTAAAAGCACAACATCATTTAAATATCATCTCACTGAATAAATGCTTATTTTTCTGCTATTTAAAAACCAGACTGACTAAAATAACTTCCATCACTATGTTGTTAAGATGTTATATGTTAAGATTAACATATTTCCACTTCAACAAAGGAGAATAAACAACTTATTTCAGTCTTTTCTTCCACATCAGCAATCAAAACAGATCCTGAACATGAGGCAACGCAGCATGCAAGATCACAAAACACATGCAGAGACAAAACAATGGCTTCTTCACTGATGTGAGGAGACATAAAGGGCATTACGTTGAATTGCTTGTGTTGAAAAAGTCGTGGGCTTGTGTGACACACAATTACAAAATGTGAGCTTGCATTTTCAAGACTCTTATGGATTCAAACTGCTTGATACAGTATATTTGGGGACAAAATAACTGTCTGCGCTAACAAACACCAGCTTGAATGCTTTTGATTGAAACAGCACCAGAAAAAAATATGTTTGAGGTTTTGTTAATGTTACACGTCTACATTGAGCTGCACAGAGAGAAACGACTTCATGTCTTTCAAAGAACTGGAAAAAGTTATGGTAATAATGGCAGTAAAACTACTTATTTAAGACCTTTTATAATCTGTTTGCCTACAGTAATACAATGTAAAAAGAGATGCTGGAATATTTGGATGATATGTATTACTAACACAATATTAATATTTCATTTTAAAAATTGTATATTGCGACACTCCTAATAACCAATGATATCCTAATGATATACTATTTGTGAGAACATACAGTTAATCATTTATTAAAAATTAGTTTCTTCTGGAACTCCTTTAAAGTAATTTATTTAAAGGTGGGGTAGGTAAGTTTGAGAAACCGGCTCGAGATACGCTTTTTGTAATATTCCATGGAATGCTCTTAACATCCCGATAGCAATGAATATCTTCAGTGCTTTGACAAAAAATCCATTAAAAAATATGTCATCTGTGGAAGCCGTTGTACTGTAAAAAGCACGACCAATCATTTGAGCCAGCCCGGCTAAAGTAACTGGATGGCCTACCTGCCTGTCAGCCTTCCATCTGTGCACAAACTTATCTCGTGCCCTCATTGGTCATGTGCGCGTTCGTGTGTGTTGGAGGAGGGGCTCTGTAAGGAAGTGGCAGATTTGTTCCGGCTGTGTATTTTCAAATTCTAGCGCACTCGAGCTGGTTTCTCCAAAATTACCTACCCCACCTTTAATCTATAGGAGATACTCGCTTTGTTCTAAATCACTATCTTTGAAGCTTGGCAGTAAAATAATTTAGAAATTGACTGAAATAAATCTCTCAAGTATTTTTCTCAGCAAAGTGGCTATAACAATAGCTTTACAACTATATCAAAGGTTTGATTCAGCAGTATGTGCGGAACATTTGCTCATTTCTTATATTAACAAAGTTCCTTTCAGTTATTGATAATTTCCTTTGAATAAACCTCACAGTCTGCAGGAGAAGTTCCTCTGGACGCCTTTGGTTTAACAACGGGAGGTTAGACACATTATGTGATTTAGGACAGGACAGAAATAGCCCTGATTATTCTAGCTAAGTTAAAATGGGTTTATTGCTTCTAAAGAGTTACAAATGTGTTGAATCATAACATCTGGAGACATCTATATCTCGCTCTGTATTCTGCTTATTCTTCTACATGAATCAATTCAGAATTTCCTCTGATAATTCTGTAGCAAATTCTGAGTCGGTGAGTGGGATCAGCAACGGAAAAGGGCTTTAACCTCTCAACGTAAGAGCATAAATAAAAGCAGTTTATGAGTCACGTTAAGATGTTTATCCTTAATCAGTCGGACAATTAATTTCTCCTTCACGACTGTTGTTAAAGCAGTGGTGTTGTAGCAAAACACAAACGATGGAAGTATATAAAGGAGGTTTACTTAGTGAGATGGCTTCTTTTAATTATTCATCATCTCTATTCCATCTGTAAAACTATTATAGATTTCTTTCAGCATATGGCATAATGTTTTGACGCTTCTCCATAATATTCAGCATTTAAATAAAGTGCCATATGTGTATAATATTAGATAAACTGATTATGCATTCATTTTTTATCACAATACATCTTTTCTGTGGGAAAATGAAACTAGTGGTAGTGCTGTCCATTCAAAGCATTTTGAATTTCAGTACTGTATTTGTTGATATTGTTGTTTCTGAGGTTCATTAAATACATCACATTCATTCATTCAAATGCATTCTGAGAGACTCAAATTACCAGATTGTCGCTCTGACAACGCTGAGGACGTTTCTTGCGAACGAAGTAGCCCAAAACCTTATCCTTAAACACCTAAATGCAAAAACACATAAAATACTCATTATTCACAGTTAAAATAAATCATGTTCAGTGACATTTAGACTTAACATTAGCAGTAGATTATACTGTTAACTTTTTAGGAAATGTACTTTCGTGCAGAGAGTCTGATGAGACGATTAATATCACTCTCAGCTTTGTAATGAAAACATGAAACTGCAGCCGGTTAGCTTAGCTTAGCATAAAGCCTGAGAACAGGAGAAAACAGCTCACTGAAGATCACTAATTAACAAGTTACATCTTGTTCATTTAATCCATACTAAAACTGGAGGGCAAGAACATATAGCTGTGGTTTTCCTGGAGGATATGAGCCCAACTATCTCTTGGAGGGAGCCAACACTTTACTTTACATTCCACTTTATTTATGCATGTTACTATTAAGAAATAAGGTGTTTATTCAAGTTATTATTGAGCTTTACAGAAGCTGATGGGCAGATATGTTACCTTGATGGTTCATAGAAGTAGTTTCGTATTTAGTGTTAAACGTAGACTATTTAATTCAGATTAAAAACAACCAATAACATATATTCAGGATATAGTTGTCCTGGAAATATTTAAAATGATGTTAAAACACAAGTCAATTAACTGTTAAGTGGTACACTATAACAATTTACTATTATATGTGTCAAAGAATATTTCTGTGTTTACTTCTAGATATTTAACCTTTCTGCCTGTTCACGTTTACGACCAACCCTGACTCGTTATCTCCTTTAAAGAATGTGCTGCTGCACTCATTCTCAGTTTTATGACCGGTCATCTCTCGGTCACAGAGCCCAAGAGTCAGGCAGGTGATTGAGTATTTCCAGATGTTGGGGGATATCTCCAGTGTTCCCAGTGTTTACGCCCCATCCCCCAATATGTGGATTAACTCTCTGTAAACTAGTTAAAAGGTGTATCGAGAGAGAGGCTGGTCAGATTTGACATGGCAACCCACCAGGGCAGTCAGAATCTCTGGCTGTGTGACTTGTGATGTGAATTTCTCCGGCCGTATACTTGTGAATAAACATCAGTGTTTGAAATCAAAGATCCAGCTCTCCTCGTGTCTCTCTGAGTCCTGACTCTCCATTGCTGCAGAAGTTTCCCTTACAATATGCACTTGTACAAAAACACATTTAATTATTGTTTACACTTTTATATCTTAATTTCTGAAAATGATCACTTTACCTCATACAAGTAGTCAAATATTTCCAGTATAGTTAGGACGCTGGCTCCGATGAACAGTCCCATCTGACCTCCAATGTCACCTAGAAGGAGAGATGAACAGATATGTGAGGGTACAGGGATGAAACAATAGCGTGTGACGGTGTTTCCTATGCTGTCACTTCTCATTCAGTATCTCTCAGAATAATCTGCACAGAGTTGTCAAAAGTGTCCAACCAGCCTCAACTTCTCAGACACAACCACAGCTGCCCTTGCAAGAGCATCAGATTATGAAAATGTGTTCAGCCTTTTTCAAGAGTTCAAAGAGAAAACCTCAACGCACGGGGCGTGAACACACGATGTGAAAAGTGTGGCGGCGGCCCGCTGAGAGCGCTGATACCGAGGTCAACCACATTTTTCTGTCACAATAAACCTGAAAACGGCAAGAATCTTACCGAGGAGCCCGGCAATTTCATAGGCTTTCTTCTGCTCAATCTTCTCGTAATTCAGAGCTTCAAAGAAGATGTCCATTACCAATAAATTTTCTCTGGAGAGAGGACAGACAAGATCACACCCAAAGAGTTTATTGCTGTTATTACATTACAGCAAATAGCACCTCTCATTTCCTGTGTAACTACCTTTCATTATTGTTACATTGAAGGTGAACGATGGAGACCCAGGTCATGCTATGCCACAATATATCCATCCAACAGAAGAAAAGAGGCTAAGAACTGCTACCGTATAATACTTACCCAATATACTGCTCAGTTTTGTTGAATTTCTTAGCCAGATATTTAGCAGATGCCTTACTGGGGATCTTAACCATGGACAGCTCCTTGCCATAGCGAGTCATGTTGCAGGGGGTCTCACACACACAGTAATCGTTGTCTTTCTCTACCAAAAAGTCTGTGGATGATCAAAGTCATTTCAAGATATTGCAAAGAATCAAACAAACCTGCTCTCTAAAAATATCCCTGCACACAACTGAAGAAACAACATACGCTGCCATCGTTCACTTTCCATAAAAGCAAATAATGACTGTAGCTAGAATAGAGTGGAGGGAGAAAAAAAAACTCGTAGGGATTTATTTAACATCGACGAAGCAGAGACACATCACAAATCCTCCTAATGGAATTTGTATACAATCATTTGACTTTATATGTTTTGCTTCAGCACTGTCTGAGATCAAAGTCATTTCAAATTAAAGCTACAGAGGCATTATATTGAAGCTTGAAAAGTCTCATGAAACTGCTGCTGGACACAATGATCACACTAATATTTCTTACTTATGCAATAAAGTGGGGGGGCTCACCTAAAGCTGGGTCAGCACAGTCTTTGTACTGCTCAGGTGTGCAAACTGTTGAGGTCCCTGTTTGAAATAACAATAATTACACAAAAAAACACATTGGGAAGAAATATTCACAGCTATATTTTTGATTTGGTACGTCTTTCTGAAATCATACCAGGCATGTGAACCATCCTGCAGTTGCAGTTCTCCAGCAGGTACCGAGTTTCACAGTCAATGCGGCAGGCGGTGATGCTGTACGTGGAGAAGAATTCAGAGTCTATGGGAGTAGACTTGCAATCTCCCCAAGGCGGAGGGAGGTACTGAAGCTGAAAGAGCAAACAGCACATGTTTTCCCTCAGTATATCAACAGACAGGATTACAACCAAAAACATAATGCAAGCCCAGTGCAGTGCAGCCGAGGAAATACAAAAGAAGACAACAAGCTGACAAAACCCAACACAAATGTCTCTCACATAAAAAGAAAATACAGAAGAATCACAATGTGCACTGCGACAGTATTGGAACAAAATGTCTGTTCAGACCAACTTTATTTCTCACGTATAGCAGCAAGCAGGCGTCATGCATTGCGTATCATAACTGATGCAGGTCTAGTCCCCGGTAGGAAGCAGAATACCATGGGAATAGAGACAGGCCTAATACAAATCTGTAAAATATGTAGATTCAGACAGGACACCACAATTAATAGACAAACCGTACAACCTGAGAACAGAATTCAGAGCAATAAACAGTATTTGAATGGACAAATAAATGAATTGTAGGGATTATACAGAGCTTTATATCTTATTTTAGGGGACTAAATGACTCCTCATAAGCATATAAAAGTGTTTTTTTTATTATTGTAAATTAACTATTGAGATTTTCTAATTTAAACCCATGAGTTTTTTTTCTAAAGCTGCTGGACTGCAGCCTTGTGAATTAAACAATGAAGTGAAGTCAGTGTGCAGTCTCATTAGAGTAAACTCTCATTAATAAGGTGAAGAGCAGGTCATTATATTTACGAGTAACTCAGGGAATTCTAAATGAATCCACTAATGAGGAATATCTAATGCCTAAGTTTTAACTTTTTGGTTCACAGTAACCATTGGACCCATGGTGCTCGTCTCATAGCGGCAGAAATGTGCGCAGAGTTCTCTTAAACACTTAAAGACACTCTTTTTTTACCGACATTTACCCACCAACAAGACTTTCAGACAGCTTTTAAAGTCTTGTTTACAGCAATTAAATGGTAAGAAATGCTTAGGACTCATTTTCATGACACAAACAAACCAATTATTTGTGAAGGCTAGTACTGCTTGCTTGGAGCAGATAGCTTCTAATTGCAGAGGGAGGTAGCCAACAGTCGAAAGGTTTCTTCCTGACAAAACTTCACAGAGAGATGAGGCTGCTGTTGTCACATTAATATACACTGTAATTCCCAGTCATCTCCCCCAGCGCTAACAAGGCTAACTCTGATAATCTAATGTTCATTTAGTTAACAGAAAGTTTTTATTTTTATGTTTCATGTGGAACTACTTGAGCAGGTCTCCCTTGAAAAAGAGATCAATGATCTCAATGGGATTTATCTGTATAAATAAAGGTTTGAAATGAAATGAAAAGTGACAGAGATAGGGTGGAGTTCGCTCAAGGAGCGGACTTAAACTGGCAAACATTATTAAGCCGTTATTGAACTCCATTTCTAGCCCACAGACTCTCATAACAGGAGTGTCGGAAAAAAACATAAAACGATTCCAGAGTCTGTAATAAAACCTAATGAATCACATTGTCTGGCCCCTACAGATGATATTAAGTAGCGGTCCAGTGGATCGCCCCGATAACATAAAGGCATAACAAAACAAAAAATGCAAACAGAACTCTATATGGCCGAGAGAGGGTAAAGCCAAACAACAGCTTTGAGGAAGATACAGACTCGGATGAATGGATTCAAGCTGGAATGAAACCCATTAACTGCTTTTTACTGACATAACAGAGAAGACAAGGGGCGACAGACTGCAGATGTTGGATGTCATTGCTTCAGCCACACAGAGGGGGACAGATGGATCCATTCCTTGGGGGTGGGGGGGTCGGGGCAGCAGATGAAGGTGTGAATCTTACTGATGGGTGTGTAAGTATTAAACAATACACGACTTGTGGCATGCAGCAAGCCCATACAGTAATACGCTACCCTCTGCTCTTGGCTGGAAACGAACGTTTGGAAGCTGGGGGCGACCCCGAAGCCCAGCTGATGGAGGAAAGGAGGCTCAGACTGAGTGTGAAGCTGTACCTTTATGCTGGCCTCATAGGACATCTCATCTAGGGCGAGGGGGTGAGGGAACACAGCCCACGTCATTATCAGAATAAGGAGGAGGAGCAACAGCAATGCGAGGGACAGGAAGTGATCAACACCTTTGGACAAGAGAGTAGTAAATCCAATAAAAAGCTAGGACTCCCAGCAGTGCAAGAACACTTTTTATCATCGGTATAAATTAAAGTTACTAACGCAGCGCCAGGAGTTTTTATGTCTCTCATCTGGCAGGTTACCACTATTAAAGGTCGCGTCTAAATCATGACTCAGGGATGCGACTGTTGCCGTAGTCATGACAGACGTCATACCCATGTTATTATTTTTAGCGCCAACCAAAAGTGTTTAACATTTTTGATTGTTTGGATCCTTTTGGGAGTTGTTCCTTGTAAGTTGCAGGGGTCTAGGGACTCTACAGTCCATAAAGCCTGCTGAGACCAGCGTAATTGGTGATATTTGGCTATATACATAACATTTGATTGATTTAATTTGATTCTACACTGGTGGGTTGTGATTTAGTCACTCTATTCTAATATCCACTCGAGCTCGGGCGACCACAGTGTTCAGTTTCAACCATTACATAATTGTGCTATAAAATTGTCTCTCAGATCTCACCAGTCATAGCTTCCTATTAAAAATGAAATTCCTCACTGACAGAGGCTTCACAAATGAGACGTCTAGAAATCACAAGTGCTTTATCCAGATGTCAGTTATTACACTGAGAGCAGTGTCACTGTACTCGTGTGAGACTGATTGAAATGAATGCTGGCCAGACTTTAATGACAGTCTAATTAATTCAGCACATCTTTGAGGTCGTAAACACGTCTTTTAGCTGTCACTAGTGTGGGCGCGCGTGTCAAGATTATAAATGACAATCCATGTACTTTTGTTTTCAGGAGGAAACTTTGCGATGTGATTATTAGATCAGATTCACTTCTTAGAGACTGCTGAACGATGATACACTTGGAGCACTTGACACTCCTAGGTGAAAAAGAAACATTACACATTCAAATACTGCTTCCCAACAACATTTTCTCATCTCTGTGGTGTGCAAATGGCTGTTTTAGGGCACCAAACTCAGCCTCAATAATCCCATGTTATTCTGCTAAAACAAAACGATGGAAGGATGTATTTGGTCATTTATCTCATGCTCATGAACTGACCAAGACCATTAACTTAAGGAGCAAAATCATTTAAATTGGGCTTGATTAGTTTCTCAAGTAATAATTTAGATGTACTGCTGGGGTATCAATTATTTTGAGACTTCACAAGGACTCACTATGAGGTGGATATTATAATGAACCTGTGGCATAATACAGAAATGCACTTGATCTCAAAGGTAATCCTTGCAAAATCCTGAAATCCTTTGTGGCACGGACGCCATTTCCTTGTGTCTTAAAATGAGGGTTTTTCTCCTTGTCAGAGTATATTTCCCTATTCTTTCCCTGTATCCATATGAAAATGAGTGGGGTTAGGCTTGTGTGCTTATTCTAGTGTAGAAATAAGAGGCATGATTTGAATTTGTTGTCTTGGCAACATAAAAAAAATGCAGTACAGTTTGATTAATTTGGATACGATGTCCATGTGAGCTCAGAGTTACGACCTTGACCATCAGCATTCAGATCAATTCAGGCTCAACTAGTTATTACTTTTCATCCTTCACGATATTTCAGGGCTAGAATCACATTTTCTGCAAAACCCGCCACAGGCTCTTTTAATTTAGCAAATTCCTTTGATATTTTGTGCTAAAACTCACATTTGCTAAGTCCTTAAATCATAGTGCATTTTAAAACATGTGGGTCAGATTTCTCATCTAATGCTGCATGCCTTAAGTGTTAATGAATTAGGAACATAAACCAATGATGACAGGTGCACCAGGCTTCTATTAATAGGTCAATTTAACATCAAAACTTCAGGATCATTTAAATATTTATTTCTTAAAGGTGGGGTAGGTAAGTTTGAGAAACCGGCTCGAGATACACTTTTTGTTATATTCCATGGAATGCTCTTAACATCCCGATAGCAATGAATATCTTAAGTGCTTTGACAAAAAATCCATTAAAAATGTCATCAGTGGAAGCCGTAGTACTGTAAAAAGCACGACCAATCATCTGAGCCGGCCCGGCTAAAATAACTGCCTGTCAGCCTTCCATCTGTGCACAAACTTATCTCGTGCCCTCATTGGTCATGTTCGTGTGTGTTGGAGGAGGGGCTCTGTAAGGAAGTGGCAGATTTTTTCCGGTTGTGTATTTTCAAATTCTAGCGCACTCGAGCTGGTTTCTCCGAAATTACCTACCCCACCTTTAAGATACAGAAAGTCATGAGAGGTCAGTTATTTAAAGTTAATCTGATTTTGGCTTTGGCTGCCAGATGACCAATTTGGCAATCATTTTTAACGTTACCATTAACATTAAGGGTTTTAATTATAAGAAATTATAAGATAAACTAATTATAAGTCATTTTTGCTTCAAACACGTTAAATTTGTTTTATTTTTATTAATCAGATCAAAGTTTGTTGATCGTGGCTGTGCTCTCTTTAGTTGGCCAGTAGACACATTTCATAGCATTCGAATAGGCTTTATTATTTTTTTTCCCCCACAAACTGAAAGCAAGGAAGACATTTCTAGCTGCCAAATATTTGTGTGTAGTGTGATAGTCTCAGATAAGCCCAGTATGTTTGTTTTCTTAAATCTATCATTACTAGGTCTTGCTCTATCAATATTCCTTGGCTGCTATAATCCCTAAGTGTGTACCCTGAACCCCTGGGTGTTTATTTAACACCTTAACAGCACATTTCCCACTCAAAGTAAACCAACAATCTGATTTTGCTCTAGGCTCTGAGACACAGAGGTAATGGGCACTGGCTGGCGAGGATTTGGGGACAAACACAGAATGAAGCGGAGCGGGAAAAGGTGGAGGCCGGAGTAGAGGAGGCTGAACATTAGGTACCAGTTGCTGCTGACATGACACAAAAGTTTGAAAACCAGGGGCCACACCAAATCCCAGTTGGTCAATGAAGGGCGGCTCGTCCTGGCTGTGGATCTGAACCTTGATGCCTGCTTCGTAGGAGGTCTCATCTGTGGATACAGCACGCCAGAATATAACAACAAATACGGTCGCCTATGGAAACCCGCTCTTTGGCTCCGGCACTGCTGCTTAGTGCTCCCAAAGCCCCTACTGATGCCCCGGCCACACGAGGACGAAAACGGTCGTTTGCGTTACTGTTTAGTGTCATATAGACCGTTCGGCCACACGAGGACGACCGAATACGGCACTAAACGACTGCGTAAACGATAACGGGTCCCAAGGTGGATAGAACGGCATACGCAACGCTCTGGGGGGTCCAACGGCTCCGTGTGTACGCCCTATACGATAATTGTCTGATAATGATGAGGCAATAGCCCCGCCTCTCCCCACCTCTGCTGCTCACCCCCGCGTCAAAGTAAACTGGACACTGAATTCAGATTATTTATCTTTCTCTCGATATGGACCTAAACGCGAGTGAAGTCTAATCTGACAGGACGGAGACACGCAGCTCTGCTCACCTGCAGCTCACCTGCAGCTCCTCCCGCTGTGATGCGGTGGTGAACGGAGTAAAACACACACTTCAAGTCCGATCATCACCCTTAGCTATTTTAATTACCTCTCAAACTACCTAAACTAGATATAAATATGTTTATTTTTACTGTCGGCCGGGTCACTCATTACTGGATCAGCTGCTGCATGAAACAGACACTGGCGCTCTGTCCGAAGAGAGGGAGGAAAAAGAGAGGCTCCGTGTATTTTATTATTATAATATATAGATTTGTTATTCATTTGTTTTAAAGCTCAATAAATAACAAAGAAGACCTTTGACCGGCACTTTTATAATTTTGTCGGAAGATTTAAACTTTAATACACGTTGACTGGCGAAAAACTCTGCCCGGTTCTCTCGGCCCCCACCGAGGAGAATAAACAGAAGGGCAACCATGACAACCATGCTTCTTCGCTGCTTTTGTGGAGGAAGTTACAGCGCCACGTACAGGCTCGTGCATATGTACTGCAGCTTCTCCAGCGGTTGGAGCTAAACGGAGCGGTCTCGTGTGGACAGACACTATCCGGATAACTATTGCGTGTGGACGGAAGCTTTTTTGCGATTGCGTTTGCGTTAATCCTATGCGTTTAGCCGTTTTTGTCCTCGTGTGGCCGGGGCATGAGAGCTGATATCAGAGATATATTTTATGGCATAAAACAGATTTAGAACCTCAGATTTATTACATGCTGTAAACTTTATGAATACAGTGGGTGTTGTTTTTTTTTACAAATATGTCAATAAATGTAATTTATTATATCTTATGTGGGTGGTTGACCTGGAAAAACTTTTCATTTTATACTATTAAACATAGTAATAGCTAGTACATCACTTCTGTGTAGTCGAAGTTCTGAAGACAATAGGCAGTAAAAAGAAGATAAGAAAACCTGGGAAAATATTGTGATTATGTTATCTTAATAAAGTAATACATCCTCCTGCTAGATAAATGATTTGTGACGAGAATAGATTGGATTTTCAGTGTAACCACACAAGATGGAGGGATTTTCACAAGGATAAAATGTTACCGTTTACTGCTTTATACTGACCTGTCTCTCCCCAAACAGGCAGGTATTCATCCTGCTGGATGTCCAACATGATCTCCAAGCCGTTCCCCGTGCCGCCTTTTAACGTGGTCAACAAAGGGTTGCCGTCTTTTCCAGAGTTGAAAGTGTAGCATTTTCCGTAGCGTGTGTAAATCTGTAAAGAAAGAGCAGAGAAAAAGAAGGAGCGTAAATGAAAAGTTAAAGCCTTTCCACTGTGCTGTGGTAAATTGTGCACTTTTACAAGATGTATTACATGTCAGCCTGTAATTGTGCAGTACCGCTAATCATTGCAGAGGCTTTGTGATTATCAGAGAAACAGCACCGACTTTAAACTGGCTCTGAATTGAGGAATGAATGAGCTTTCCTTCGCAGCAGCCGCAGCTATCAATCTTCACACAATTTCACTCCAAATTTCCTCTGAGTATCTTAAGAAAGAATGTACTATATTGCCGTCATTAAATAAGAAACACCTGAGGTGAATGCTCTCTGGACACACACACAAACTCTTTTTTGAGCTTGAAAAACATATTTGTGTGTCTTGACTTACCGCTTGATGTGCAATCTTTACAGTACATTGCCTCACACAAAATATCTTTCAGATCTAATTAAATGACTTGTTTTCAGCTTTTGCTTTAGAGTCACAGTTGACAGATATTTAATGTTTTTCAAGTCTATGGATTTTCACTGTGATTGGAAAATTCTCCACCCTCTGCAAAACAAGTCGCAATAAATCTGCATCACGATTGTAAATGTTGTCAGTTGAAACTGAACTCGAGTTTGGATCAAGACTAAGAAAACGTACAATTCTGAAAATGGCTTAAAGGATTGTGTCAATTCAAGCTAAGTCTATCAGTTCGAGATACGATTACCACACAGCAGAATTGATTGGTTATGCAACACTATGAGGAACTTCAATATCTGTTATTCATGCATTTCATATCATGATTTAATTTAATTTCCACCTTTTTATTTTTTAAATGTTTTCCTCCTTGTTTCTTGTCTGATCCTACTTCCTGTGTTTACCTTCCTGTCGTTAGTTTCCCTGGTGTGTCTGATTGTCTGATTGTGTTCACCTGTTGCCCTTGTGTTTCTGCCTCCCCTGCCCAGCTGTGTCTTGTCCTGTGATTACCCTTCTGTGTATTTAGTCTTGTCTTCCCCTCTGCTCCATGTCTGTTCCTCTCTCCTCGTCTATGTTACCTGTCTGTCTCTTGATGTCCATGCTCTTGTCCATGCTACTTGTCACGCTCCATGCTTGTTCCTGAGGTTTTCTGTCCTGATCCTTCCTCGTACTCCCCGGGTTTTGGTAATGTTAAGTTGTTCCTTGTTTTCTGTTGTCATCAGCTTTGGGAAATAAAGCTCGCTTTTTGTTACCTAACCTTTTAGTCCTCTTACTGCATTTGGGTCCTATTTTTCCCCACCCCTGATATTTCACCAGAAAAATCTGCACCGTTTTAAAGAAAAGAGTTCATCACAAGTTTATCAAAGTTACAACAATATCTGCTTGTTGGTGTTGGTGGCAAAAAACTTCATATTTAAATGGGGTGAGTGTGAAAGAATCAGGATGACCAATCATACACCAACATAACACAATAAAATGAAAGAAAGGCTTAAAAATGTTTATTATGAATTAAATTAAAATATTATTGAATATACTATTGTGAAATGTAATCACAATTAAATGTTATGTTGCAGAACAATACCACTGAATTTAACACATGTACTCTACTAATAAAATATGTCGAATTTTGTTTTTCAGTCAATCATTTCAACTTGAATTTCAATAATTCAACAAGGTTGGTCAAACTGCAATATTGAAATTAAAACTTCAACATCAGATTAATCAAGACAGATTGGATTTTTTTCTCCAAATGTAACATCACTTCCTGAAAATATAATAAGGGGAATTCAAACCACATTTTTTTATAAATGGTTAATTTCAGAACTAGGTCATTTTCAGTTTTTCAAACTTCCATCTAAAACCCTCATTGTTGAATTTAAATAGTGATTTGCTAAATTGAGCCACACTTCCTACATTAATGATCATGGATGTCCAAATATTCTTCCTTGGCAAACAATAATTGGCCGTACAAACATTGTACATCCTGACATGATGCTTATGTGGCTGTCGAGGTTTTTCTTCACAACACCAGTAGTACTGGAATGTCATCCAATGGTTAATTTTCACTACCCAGTGTGCTGAGGTTGGGGTGATAGGGCTTCTGGCAAAAAATTCAACCAGCATGGCGAAGCTGATCTCCAGAGATCAGAGTCAGTGTTCCACGTCCAGACACAGACAGACGGGCATGCAGCTCGGATAGATAAGACAGCTTTGGTCCTTTCCCCCTGCTGGCTGTATAATGAGGTCTGCAAGAGTACTGTAACTAGAGACCTCTCTTTAAAGATTCAGATTTAAGTTTAGATAAAAAAGGAGCTTCATTCTGTCACATCACAGCCACACCATATACCTCTCTCTCTCTCCAAGCACAATACAGTTTAAATCCCAATTATGGCTCCATGCAATCTGACCGTCATGCTAGAGATTGCAGAGATTCTGCATTGGTATCTGCAAAACAGGGAAGCCACCGTTGACAGCTGACATACTGCAGTGTGCAAGACTTTGCATTTCAAATATATTCACTGTAGTAGTCATAGTTACAGGTTAGGTTTTCATTACGCTGTATATACTAATATATCTGGTTAAATGAAGATCCAGTGACAGGTTACTGCTTTAAATCTACCAGTGTGTCCCAGATTTAAATTATTCTCAGTGCTGTAGAAATAAATGAGTCGCTCTGCAGGCGGATTTCTCACTGCAGAAGTTTCTCTGTTGAGCCTTTCATATTTTCTGATGTTAAAGGCTGTTTTGAAAACATTGGAGAAAGAAATATTACTATTGTGATAACATCATCCAATTCCTCCATGCAGCATACATTGCTTGCTTAAAACGTAATTAACGTTTTATTTTAGGCTTTGCTGCATTTTCAATACAAAACCGTACACTGCCCATGCCTTCCAGATGTTTAATAAGGGAAGCTACATTTTTCATTTTAACTGATTTACTTGTTTGAATTATTAATGCTCTAATTTGTCTACCTTTCTATTGTTGTCACGGGTTGTAAAGCAAAAAGGCGTTAAAGCAACTGTGAGTAAGAATTGCCAGGCAGAGTATAACCAAATGAGAAACTAAGAAGAGTGTAAAGAAGACAACAACATCCTTGATGATGACATGCCGTGACATTTTCACCACAACATGAAGGAAGCATTTGTTTCCGGGACTGACTTTTGTAGACGTTTAGTTTAATAAAGAAAACATCTGTCATGTGTGAGAGGTAAAAACAGTAAAGGCTTGTTTTCAGCTTTGAAGCTCAAAAACACCCCGAGAGATTGAGATTGGGTCGTCAAATGCTGCCATGAATTATTAATACACCTTGTAAACAACCATTCATATCCACAGCTGACAAACACCATCTTTCTCTCTGTACATACAGTACTGAAGTGTTTGTAGGTGCAGGGGTCCCCTCTGAACTTGCACTCCAGCAGCATGTCCTCCAGCTGGTGGCCGAGGCGTCCCATCATCTCTGTGGTGTTGGTGCTGAAAGCAGGGGGCGGGGTGTAGTTTTTGAAGTCCAACAGGTTCAGGAGACCCTGTATGTGGCTGTCTCTGAGCAGGGACACGCTCTGCTCCACCACTGTGTGATTGGGGTACATCAGGTCCATCCAGTAGCCACTGTGGTACAGGTCATCCTTGGTCAGAGCGGACATGCGGAACACGTTCTTGTTGCAGAAAGTAACAGCTGGGAAGGACATGTTGTGAGCCCACACCATGTAGATCTTGGTGATGGCAGGGTAGGACATCAGGTAGAGGATCCGATTCCAGGACAAGGTGCACAGCAGACTGATACAAAGGAAGAAGGCCATGATCCAGATGACTCGCTGCAGTTTCGACTTGTCCGGAAAGAAGATAAACTTCAAACCATGAACTTTGGTCCTCATTATGAAATCCACAGTGATCTCTTTCAGTGTTGGTTTAAGTGATCTGGACTTCTTTCGGACAGGAGTCTCTTGGGCATCACTTTCTTTAAGCGATGGTCCCATGGCGACTGTTTCGGATATTGGTGCTTTAACCATAATTGCTTCTGTTAAGGTGGACGCTTCTTTACTAATTGCTGTTTCTTAGATTCCAACCCTACACATGTCTAATTCACACACAACCATCTCCAGGTTTAACTATCACGATTTCCAGGTAGCAGCGACTGGAGTCCTGATGTGAAGCTGTCCCACTGTTCACGCTTGAAAATTATTTGCCGAAAACAAAGGAACTGAGCTCCTTTGGGGAGGTAACATTGATTTACATAATGATTCCTTTATGGGAAAATCAGCTGAATCAGTCCATTAATAAAAAAACATCATGCGTAGCCATCATCAAGAGATAAATGGACGTGATAATGGCAGATGTTAGCGACGGCTTCACTCCCAGAGGCAATCACTTTGAAAATCCGGAGAGGCTTACCCCTGTTGCTCTGATCTTTTACTCCTCCATCTCCCTCTCCAGTGCCAGACAATACTTGCAGATTCCGGTGGTTTCTCTCTTTGTGCCGTAGCTGCCCAGAACCCAACTCCTCCCTTTTTACACAGATTGAAGATATGCTTCTGAGACTGTTGACTTGCAGCCTGCAGAAGGGAGTATAACGCTTGTTGCAATGAGGTGGAGCCAGTGAATTAAATTGTTTTCCTCCGGTGATGAAGTAGACCTCCGATTGTGTAGAGAGGCGGGGGAGGTATCAATCAAAGTACAAATAATTGTTATAAAGAAACTCTCAAACAGAAAAATATTGGAGAATCTGCAGCTCGCTCCTGGCTCAATACATCTATATAATTGATAACTGACCTGACGGGAGCCCGCTAGTTGGATGAAAAATCCCCTTAAAAATGTGTTCGAAAAATCCAGTATGGCACATCTCCTCGATCCTCTTTTCTGCCAATTTCACAAATGCAATGTAATGAGCGCTGACATGCCGCAGCATGCAGATGTGACTCTGGCTATATAAAAGTTGCTTTGCTCCATTTATGTGAGACTATTAAAGTATTCTGTTTGGCAGAAGGGTCACATTCGCACTGAGACTATTTTCCATTATGTTAGCTGGAATCTTTTCA